CGCCGAGACCGCCTCTCTCTAAACAATGGTAATTTTTTTTTAATAAATTTGTTATATATATTAATAATTTGTTATAAATTTGTTACATATATTAGTAATGGAATTGATATAAAATAGATTTTAGGAAATGGATTTAGGAATTATGTAGGAAATAGATTTAGGAACTTTGATATGAACAAATTAGATATGAAATAGATTTTTGGAAATATGTAGGAAATAGATTTTTGGAAATGGAATTGAATTTAGATTTGATATGGATTTATGTGTTTGTATTGATAAGTTATATATAAAATTTATAAAGAAAAATGAATTTATGAATTTATATTTTATGAAATTTATTAATGTAAAGTAAAATAAAACGTATTTATGAATTTTTTGAATTTAAAATAAATAATTATTTAAAATAAAAAACGAATTTACAAAGTTTGCAAAATATAAAATTATTTTTGAAGTTAAATTTATGGATTTATGTGTTTGTATTCATATATTATATATAGAATTTATGAATTGTTATACCAAATTATTTTACCAGTTTTTAATTTATTTATGAATTTATATTTTACAGATTTTAATTTAATAAATTTGTTTTATTTTTTAGGCGGATAGACCACCTTCATACGGACAGTTATTTGGCGAGGATGCTACGATTCCCGGATCTGATGGTCGTCGCGGATCAGGATCAGGGTCAGGTTCGCAGGCTGCGAACTATCATCCACAGGCTCCACCACGAGGTGCACCACGAGCTCTGCCACGAGCTCTGCCACAAGCGCCTCCACGAGCTCCACCACCGCCACCGCCTCAGCAAGAGCCAGGGCTAGAAGAAGATGAAGCAGATCATCCCGACGATCACATTGAGGCCCCTCCACCGGAAAACCCGCCTCTTATGATGTGGATTAGTGAGCTTCTCCGCCAACCGGGACGTGAGACACGTGTTAGGGTTCTTCATCCGTTTAGACCTACTGGTACTTTATGGTATGATGAAATTTGTTTCAATATTACTAATTAATTTTTTTCGGGTAATTAATTTTTATTTGCAAATTATAATTAAATTATACATTTTAATATTTTATTTTACAGGTTTAACGATAACCGTGTTTCGCGTTCGGTCATCAAAGCCATCATGGCCCATTTCACTATGTCACATGCTAATTGGAGTCAGACGCCTCAGTCTGTTCGAGATATTTGGTTCGAGTCATGGGCGGTAAGTCATTTTATAAGCTTTATTTTTATTTATTAAACTATTTGAATTATTTGATTTTAAATATATTAATAACATTATTCGTATTTTTGTAGCAAGGATGACATTAGGATGAATTTTGTACTTTCGAAGTGCGAACTTCGTTCGAGCAGAAAGCGCTAAAGCATCTCAACGGTTACGTCGGTAATTTGAAGAAAGCGTGGCGCGC